GGGTGATGCGGTGGGGTCTACTGTATCTTTCACAGGGTTGGGGATAATGGCTTGCTGCAATGTCCTATTACCTATTTCACAATTAGTCTTAGTGAGATAGTTGTGTGCGCGCCTTTCTATAACTGTTTTGTCCACCCCGACCTTTATATGTTTGTAGTTTCTGGCTTGCGATAGGGTGTGTTGGGAGTGAATGAATTTTCTGGTCTCTGCCGGTGTTTCGAACTGAAAACGAATAGGACAACACTTTTCATGTTGACTCTTCTTCAGCCTGTAGCACTTAGTCTTGGAGTTAGGCATTTTCGCTTCACTAAGTAAGATGCGCTGTACCTTTTTTATTGCCTCATTGTCCGGAACGTTGTAGACAATAGCACTCAGTTTTGCGTCGAGTCGTTTTGTTACTTCTGTGGTAACAAAGTTAATGAGGTTATCTACCTTAGTTACCGATTCTGTGTCAAGCTTGTTAAGGTTTACCGTTTTCATGAGGATAGTTAGAGGTGTCAGTTCACAGACCTGCGATCTGATATCGCTGATCTGATCTGATAATTTGGATATCTCGGTATTGGTTTCGATGTTTCCAGCATTTACTGACTTGCTGTTTTTTATTTCCCTTAACTCAGCCTTAAGTTCTCCTATAGACAACTTTAGAAGTTCTATTTCTGAAGATAGTACTGAAAAAGAGCTTGATGGCTGGAGTTTCTCCATAAGCACATAAGGTGAAGGGAGGAGTTCTGTATGAGCAGAGGGTACCGAATTTTTAGGAGTAGTGCTAATACTGGCTGTCAGTACAGTTTTATTTTCAGTTTCAGCTCGACGCTTACGGCATACACGTGAGTTATGTGACTCACTATAGCCGTTTGTTGGGGGTGTGTTGCTTGATGTAGCAATCAAGGACGTTAAATTAGACACCAGTTTTACAGGGGATTGGGTTCGCTGCTTTTTACTTTGATTAACCATAACTATTAGAAATAAGAGTTAGTGGTTACAAGTATGGAAGTGGTATAGTACTTGTGCAAGTACTACAACAAGATAAATTTTATGTAACGAATCACGTAAAAATGTAACGCAAACGTTGAACGTACCGCGATACAGATGAATTCAAATAACACCAATTGATATGACACACCACACGTATATACAAACAGTACACACTAACTCGCATTTCATGTCTTGATGGAATACCCTTGAAGAATTGCAGGACTTACACCAGTACGCCTACAAACCTTCACAGGTTGACGATTGTAAGTTGTGGAATGTCCAGACACAAACAAGATTAACCAACAATTACAATAATTGGAACTCACACAACTATTTAACACAAACATATGTACAATCAACACACCAAATGTTGTGGATTCTGACACGACAAACTACCCTTGAAGAACTGTAGGACTTACAGCAGTACGCCTACATTCCTTCTCAGGTTGATGATCCAAGTGGAAGTCGTCCGGACACAAACAGAATTACCAACAGCTAGTTGATAAATGATATCAATTCAGTATATACAATATGAACATATGTACAAGATCATACACCAAGCACATTGGACTGCTCATTGATGCGCTACCCTTTGAAGAACTGTAGGACTTACAGCAGTACGCCTACAACCCTTCTCAGGTTGACGCCCTAGGTTGGAAAATCGTCGCAGAGTTCATTTGCTAACTTCCTTCTATCAGCTATATCCTCAAATCTGAACGGCAACACGCCCATGTCATTGTATCGTAGAATATAGATGACCAACAAACACACGACATATCTCATCAACCAAGTATAGAAACAGAGTAATTTACACCAAAGATAATAACATTCAAATAGTAACTTGAAACTAGAAATGCCTTTATTCGTGCAAGTCAATTTAACAATAACTCTCTCCTTCACACTTGGCTTATCCACACTAAACTGACCATTGATATTCGTCCCTTCAAACGAACTGATACTACCATAGTCATTGCACAAGATACTTGAGTTGATGGGTGTCTGTTTTATTGTGGATGACAGCACCAACGATGACTGAGTGACACAAGGTGATGAACTTAGTGGTGGATCAGAAGCTGTTCTTGTTCGGATCTCAGATAGTTGTCCAACTGCAAGATTACCACCACTGCTGTCTTTCACTACTAGGTCGGGTTTAGCACTATCATTTGATGATAGGTGGGCTACACGCTGATCAATTACACTGACTGTCTCACAAGTATGCACACCTTTTGGAACTGCATCTGCGTTCAATTCTACTTCACGTTGTAGTTGTACAGAACCTTTATTTAACTTAGCAGTAGTAGGCATATCCCTCATTTCATAATGATCAACCAAAGACAACTGTGAAGTATCATGATCATTATCACGAATATTCACTTTACCGTCAACTTCATCATTTTCAAACTCTTTAATAACAGAAGTAGACAATTTTGGTTCCTCCTCGCAAATCATAAAAGGTTTTATAACTTCACTCTGACTAGTAATACCTTGTAAACTTTTGGAGTCAGAACTGCACTCTGAAGCAGTAACTCTATTCTGTGACACTCTATTCAACAATGGCTTACCAGTTGCAACTACAGACTTCTTCACCGCACCGTTATCGTCACACAATTCGGAGTCAGGCCCGGAGTTTACATTTAGCTTATCACTGAACTTGCTCACTGGTTCACAGCTCACCTTTGTATGCACCTCTTGCAAACGAGTACAACACAACCGTGTTTGTCTTGCATCTTGCAACTTATCTGTTGAGGATGTACTACGAAAGCTGTTACACTCACTAGATCTATATGCATTACTGGACATCATCGAGCCTTCTCGATATCCACCTCTCTGAGGCTTATTCGTCATCAATGAGTGCGTTTTACCCTCAGACTGCTCTATTCTATGGGTGAGATCTAACAGACTGGAAAACTTGCTCATAGATTGATTGACACTAGTATTTACCAGTTTCAGGATATCATCAAATTTTGGCTCGATACCCTCATCCTCCATACGGGAGCTTATCTTCACCCACTTCCTTTGCAGTCGAGTAGGTAGACGTCTTGCTATTACTTCTAGTATAAAACTCGAGTTGAGGTCACTCATTCGATTCATCGAAATCATTCCATTCTTGTAAATTAGCAAATTATCTAAAAACTCAGTGAGTGCCTGGGAGTCATCCTGTAATTGACCACCATTACCCTTAACAGCCTCGAATAATTTCCCTGCAATCATCGAAGGTCTTCCAAACCTTTGACGTAATATGCTCAGAGCCTCGTAGTAGCCCTCTTTTGGCTTCATAAACGTACAGCACTGTATGGCTCTTGAAGCATCTCCAGTGCAATATCTCATCAAATACATTAACTTCAATTCATCACTTAATAGAAAACTACTCAGCATGATCTCAAACTCCTTTACAAATTGTAAATAATCGGCCGGGTTTCCATCAAAACACCGTGGTTCTAATTTAGGGAGTTTGATGTTCCTATCATCCCTGAACGGTGAAACAGTAACATCAACCATGTCATGCTTAACATCAGACACATCGTTACAATTAACAGACAAGTCAACATGACTTACTTTCCTGTTTGTATCCAAGACACTCTGTCCCTTCTTTGACCCAGGCATTGTTGAACTTGACCAAATTCCAAAAAAGTTCCAGATATTGCTTGTTCAAAGAGGACTTGACCAGCACCAGGAAAAATGAACGGCGACTATCCAAACTTTCACCAACTGTTTGAATCCGCCAGATCTGTTTCTATCGTCAGAAACTGTCAATCACGTCTCATAAACCGTTAATGCCCAGCTCTCGCTACGCTCGGGCCCACGCTGTTCCTTTGAGTTTCAGAAACGCTTAGTAATAACGGACGCAAAAACCAAAACACCGATCTGCTGCTTGTTATTTCTTTATTGTTACACCAACATATAAAAGGAATAAACGAACTAAGCAACTAAGGTCTGTAAACAAATATTACAATAATAAATCGTTATGTTACTTCTGACGATGTTTCACTCTTCTTTCTGAACAGCGACCGATGAGACGATGACTGTCGTATTGATGCCTCCGCGAAAATCGAGGAAGTTGATTTTGAGCAAACAACCAAGAATTGATCGTTCAATCTTCAACTCCATTGACACACTGTGACTCTAAAAGCCAATCACTCAAGACTCTTTGGAGCACATCTTTAAATCATTTACACTGGGTCGGATACATTCACATTAGGAATCTTACAGAATCTTTAATTCCCTATGTATCTATATGTAAGTGTTATTCGCTTGTAGGCTTTCTTTTTACTATAGTTTCCCTACACGTCTTATTCCTCTATCTTTATTCGAAATTTTTTGATGTGTGGCTACTTGGACTGCGAGATTATCGTGCAGAATTGTAGGTTGAGGATTAAACCCTGTATATCACAGGGTTGATCACTGTGTTAATCATGAGGAGGAATGCTCACTGTAAGGGATTTAATATACTCAGGAACGTTCACTATGTACTTAACGCCTGAATGCAAGTTTATTTCTCTAAGCTTCTTTCATACCAGTAGTGGCTTTGTTTCGTTCTCTTATTTGTTTTCTTTCACTGGCATTGTATTCACGTTCCCCTTTTCTATTTTTCTCTCCTAGCTGTTACAAGTTATTCTGAAACGGTATTAATGCCTACATCTCGATGCCTCAGTCACCTAGCCCAAGAGTTTTCACAGAAAATCTATCGTAATTCGTGTTCAATAAAGCTTCCACTGGAATTCGGTTAGATATACCATATTTGAGTCACTCAAAGCACGAAACTGTTTCTCAGCATTAAAATGTCAGAGATAGGCAAAGTAATGGGCCAATTTATGCTAATTATGTACACACTACCCAAATATATAAAAATATGTCTCTTAGTTCATTAAAAGTAAACAGTATGTTTCACAATATTTCAGTGAAAAACTTCCAAACAGTGATGATGGGATCATTTAAAAATTGTTTTCATTTTTTCGAAGACATGAGTTCATGAAAACCTTGTTTTAAATAACTTACCATGGTAACACGTTACTCTAAAATCCTTGAAATATTTCAAATGACGAAGACAGCATTTCTTTTTAGACTTTAATGTTTATTTACTCGATAATTTAATGTCACAAATGAACTCAGAAACAGTGAAAGTTATTGTTCGGTGTAGGCCTCTAAATGAACGTGAAAACGCACTTCAATGTAGTAATATTCTGGAAATATTCAATGACACCGGACAGTGTTCTATACTAAACTCAAGCGATAAAAAGCTTCCGCCCAAAACATTTTTCTTTGATGGGTCGTACGATCAAAATTCAACCACAGAACTGATATACAACGATATATGTTATTCTTTAGTGGAAGGAGTTACTGAAGGTTATAATGGCACGATATTTGCCTATGGTCAAACTGGGTGTGGGAAGTCTTACACTATGCAAGGTGTATCTGAGCCATCTAGTCAAAGAGGTGTTATACCACGGTAAGCAAAAGATATGGATTCTTATATATATATATATATATATATATATATATATACATAACCTTCCCGATAACGTGTGCATATATGATATAATTAGATTTTAATAGCTTAAGGGAAAAATTATAGGTAATCTCTTATGGTTACATTATCTCATATTTTATTCATTTAGGGGGATGGACCGCCAATCCAGATTATCGGTCACTGTCGTTTGTTTGTTAATTTACAGCTGGCTTGCTCTCCTTTAGAACTCTTCAGCAATACGCATTCATGATCCTACCAGAGGTCGAAGTCGGAACATCAAGTCATGGAAACGACATGCAGCCTACAGTCGGTTACCGTAATTGTCGCAATGTAATTATATCTTCTTTCTGTTTTCAATACAACTAGGAGGAAAAATTCATTCATTTTAGTTGTCCCTTATATCCCAAATCAATTTTATAAGGAGTCGTTCTCGTTGCCGTCCCCTGAATTCCTTCTGGTGTGTTTAAAGCAGGTCCTATTTATCCGAAAGTAGTTCTGGTCTCATAAGAGACGTATGTTATGGTGTTGATGGTTCAAGAGTAGAATGCTTGTCAGCCACGCACTTGGTTTTGATCCAGCTGCTAACTAACGCAATCCTAAACCTAGTCCTAGTGTACTACCCGATGGTAAGCTTGGAAAAGGGTCAAGGTTGAGGCTGGGGCCAGCAGTTCCATATGATAAAAATAACACTATAACTGCCTAAACTTTAGAACTCAAAAAGCCCCAAGCCCCATTTGTAAGGGACTTAGTGACGAGCTAGGTAACGGTAGAAGTGTTTTAGACTCCACATTTATTCCAGTTAAAACACAAAGGAGTGACCTGATAGAGACGTATGTAGAGTGAAATAACTGCTATTATAGTTTTTCATACCTACATAATCTCTTATATGCAGAATGGACCATATAAATCAGAGTGCACAGTTGTGAGACACCCTTTTCATGCTATCTTTCAGGAAGAGTTTGAAGTTTGTCCTTGCTTTATCTTTTGCCGACAAAGAATTCATTGATTCAGTTAAGCAGACTGTGGGTATTTCCAGAATTCCGGAGTTTATTAGGCAAAACGGTGTGTGACAGCTTATAGTATGGTTCACTTAAATACTATGTGGATTTGTTCTACAAACAATTCCTATAATTAGGCTCAGATGCTTTGGCTGTGAGTCTACAGGCAGAAAAACATAATAAGCATACGCAATGTGAATTAGACGACATTATTTTTCAAGTGGGCTATAACGGCTTCCTTCCAACCGAATAGACAATAAGACTAATATGCACGTAATTCTAAGAATTTTCTGTGAGTTGCCATCCCGAAATGCGCTAAAAAACTGAACCTTTACAGCCAACCTGTAGCAGTCTTCCATGTTCCTAAGATTATGCCTAATAGTCTGGCCTTGTGGATCAAAAGCTCACTTGTTCCCTGTATTTCAGTTGCCTAACAGTCTAAATACAACATTTCGGTCGACATGGACAAACGTATATTGCCTTCTGGTGGTGGTTTTTAAGTTATTACCATATATTATGGCAATTCCTAGATAAAGACTCTTACAAAGTCTTTTGCCATTACTTCCGCTTGATCTTGGTTCCTATAGATTGAGTGAGATGCCTCTATCCCAATAATCAGGTTGGAAGCTCTGTGTAATATTTTTCTTTCAAGGTTCATTTAAGATACAAGTATTAAGCAGGTTTATTGGAGCTTGCAGCAGATACATTAAGCATTGCGCTTTTGTGCGAAAGTTCCACGTTGACCAGAATATGGGTGTTTTCTTCACTAAAGCTTCTCCGAGTTTCATTAACTTTAGTCTAAATCTGTCTGTCTGTTTTTGACATAGAACTTTGCACATATGCGCGGCAGTTCAGGTCCCTACACTCCATGTAGCACACAAAGCAAGAGAAGAAAGTACAAGAAATGCATAATAGAGACAGTAAACAGAGGTGTGAGACAAAGGAATATATCGTTTAATTGCAAATCATAAGTCACAAGGAGTGGATGCATCTGCGCGAGGCATCGAGAACGATTTCGAGCCATTTCACCAGTTGTTTCCAGCCATTGGTTTTTACAGTCCCGAGGACCGCAACCAGGAAGTCTACACCTTCCTACGTGACTTAAACTAACTCTTATGGATTTCATTGACTGGTGCTATGTTTTGGTTTCACCACCATGTGCTAGCTCTTTTCAAGCCTGACCCTATGTCAACTAACATTTCCCGACAACGACTAGACATACGTAACACATGTCCTAACCATTTCAGTCGATGTAATTTCACAGCCTCGTCGATTGATTTCCCCTCCTTACCTAGCACTCGACCTATGCCTAACCTCAATATTGCTCACCTTATTATACCACTTCACTCGGGAGATAGAACGCAGGCACCTATGATCGAAGACAGCTAGCCAGGCTTTTCATGTCTTCCACTGTCAATGGCCAGGTTTCACAGCCATAAAGGAGGACGGAGCGGACTGCTGAGCAGTACACACACCCTTCGGTTGATAGCCGGATATCACGTCTACGCCAGAGATGGCGTAAACTGGCATATGCGAAACTAGTCCTCTGTATCCGTGCTGATATTTCGTCAGGGATCAGCCCGTTGGGGCTGATGGTACTTTCTTAATAAGTGAAGCGTCTAAATAATCCAACTTGAAAACATTTGCGAGCTGGCTACCTGTTATTTCAGCATATTGGACTGGAAGTGATCAACTTGTCATGGAAGGAACTTTACGATTCCATTAATCCAGGCATATATATACAGTTTAGACTCATTTTCTCTGCATCATTCATCTCTTAGTGTTTCTTCACACTGTGATAAACTATTTTAACACATGTTTTTACTAGATTTCTTCCCGCTTCTAGTGAATACAAGTTTAGTTTCCCTTTATTTAAACCCTTACTGTTAATGTTGTAATTTATTCATTAATGTTTTTCATTCTCTTTTTAAAAAAAAACACCAAGAGCATTTGATCAAATCTTCGAAACTATATCTATTAGCGAAAAAACCAAGTATTTAGTGCATGCATCTTTTTTGGAAATCTATAATGAAGAAGTACGTGACCTACTGGGTCGTGACAACAAAACGAAATTAGAACTAAAAGAGAATCCTGATAAAGGAGTTTATGTGGCTGGTTTATCAATGCATAAAATTACCTGTGTAAAAGACTGTCAGGTAATCATTACTTTGTCATTTTTCATGATTTTTTAATAGATAAGTAATGTCTGATAAGCTTTTAAACAATTTTGATTCTCTGTTGGAATTCCCAAGGTGGATTCAAGTTTATGACTGAATATTTCTTAACAATTAGTTCTTAAACTTACAAGTATTGGTTTTGTAGAGATTTTGTTTGATTGGATGGTGGATTTCATCATGAGCTGACATCAGTTAGAGAAGCACTGGAAAATCTGAGAGCACTGGACAGCGGGTTGAAGATGAGGCAATCACTCACTGAAGAAGACATTGAAAAGTTAGAAGTCAGATTTCATTTGCTGGCCATTGGATCGGGTCCCGGTGGCTGAATTGTCTACGAGAACACTAGCCTTCTAATCAGAAGGTCCTGGGTTTTAACCCCAGTGAGGTGGGTGCGTACTGCTGAAGAGTCCCAAACTAGGCGGATGAAACAGCTGTTCAACAATCTCAGGTTTTCCAGTGGTTCTCTAACTGATGTCAGCTTATAATGAAATACTCCATCCAGTTAATTCCTAATCTACTCGAGGATGTAGAGAAGATATGGACTGTGTTTTGCTTTATGGTTAACCGCTAGACTTCAAAGATACTTAGGATATTTTGTTACGGATTTGAACAGTACGATCTGAAAAGACATTCTAGTATATGAATAAAATAAAAGACGTTTGTATTATTATTTTTGTTCCCTTGAGTTCCTAGTGGAACATAGGGCTTCAACTCCACGTCTCCACTTGCATCTGTCTTCTGCTGTACTTTTCACCTGCATCCATGTTAGTCCATACTCTTTCAACTCCCCTTCACACGATCTCCTCCATGTCACACATGGACCGACATCGCACTCGCCACTTCCCTTTCGGGTTCCACTCGAGCGCCTGACGCGCGATGTCACCAACCGGCCTCCTCAGCGAGTGTTCAATCCATCTCCACTTTCTCCTGAATATTTGTTGAGCGATTGGTTCTTGTTTTATTTCTTCCCATAGTTTCCTGTTGATAATTCTTTCCGGCCATCTGACCTTCAGTATGGAGCGAAGACAGTCGTTGATAAAGGTCTGCATCGCAACCTGTTGGAAATATTCTTTGTGACTTGCCAAGTTTCTCATTCGTATAGAAGAACCAGGTTGACGTTTGTATTGAAAATCTGACTGAATTTTGTTGTTGATGCTGAGTGACGAAGATTGGTTTTCCAGAATGGTTTCAGGTTGATGAATGTGTTTCTCGACTTCCCAATTCTCGCTCGATTTGACATCCTCGTCCGTTCCTCCTGTAGTTGAAATAATGCTCCCTAGATAAGTGAATAAAGTAACCTCTTTCAAATCCCCCCCGTTGATGGTGATTGGTGCTGGATGTTGCTGCTGTTGTTGTTGGTGGTGGTGGTGGTGCCAAATAGAAATTAGAAAGTTAAAAGCTAATAAAAATCGATGTGTTTTGAAAGATTAACAAGAGCTGCGCACATTTTTCAAAACTAATCAAAAGTTTCTACTTAGATCACCTAACCGGAGATTCTGGCAAAATATAACTTGATAAATTCTACTGCGATATTAAGAACGAGAAAAGATATTCTATACTTGCATGAAACTCTATACTACTGATAAATTCGGATGAGTAGTTGTTTGTATACCAGTCGTATCAACCAGTAGTGCTTGCTGGCCAGCCAGATTATCGAGGTAATCTACACACTGAATGGCTTTTTAACTCACTCTTTGGGGTGCTCGTTTCGCTCACCCCAGATAAGTGAGTCAGTTTGAACCACCTGATTTCTGTCTAGCTACCTGGGCGAACTGGTGTTATCATCAATCAAATCGACAATCTGCAAATTAGTTAGCAATCTGCCATGTACACAGTCCGAGTGGTGAAATTTTACTGTAGTTTCCTCTAAAAAGCCAAGTTTTCCCGACCACAATATGCGATCTGGTTGATCGGGTACCACAGATATAGTACAAAATAGTATATTGTCTGATGCATGTATCCTTGGTTTCTTGATTATCATTTGTGCTACCAAGCAGATCATATATTACGATCTGAACAGCTCTGCTTCAAAAGTGAACTACAATGAAATCTCTCCACTCAAACTGTATATACATTGCAAATTGTTAAATAATTTGCAGATTTGTAGATTTGATTCAGAGATTCAACAACCTAAACTTTGAAGATCATTATAGCTTGTAACGACAGAACACAAGGCCCAGGCTACAGATGGTTTATTCAGGAAATCAACAAATATTTATAGATTTTTATGTAAATTATTATTCTCTATTGTTAGCAGAAAAGCAACATCTTTTGATTGATTGTTTTCCTTCTGAAGGTTATTCTGTCATCTCGTTGTTGCCATTTCTTAGACAATCTGGTGATATATCTGCGAATCGTATCCGCCCACGCAAAGTCTGCTGTGATTGGTTGTTGAGTTCCTCAAGGTTAAGCTTTGTTCTCGTTTTCTCTCCTGAACCCGATTCGGGACGTAAACATAGACGTAAATTGTTGTTTACAACTTCGACTTGCAGACAGCTCTCGCTACAAGCTTACATTAAAATTAAAGTGCTCAATCAATGTGGAAATATTCATTTACACTGTCTTTGAGACGTATCTGCAAAATTATTTTTTACAAAGAGCTATTAAAATCAACCTAGTCCGAATTTATGAACCATGTGGTGTGTATAAATATTTTATTCAACAGGTTATCACCCGTAGTCACTTTATACTATATTTTCACTTAAAATGACATTTTTTTTTATTCCTTTACTTCCTCAGTGGAACACTGGGCTTCAAGCTGGAGGTTTGAAGTTTCATTGGCAGTGATGTTTATTTTTATGGGGGTGAAGTTGCTAGGCTCATGTCCAACCTTCCCTCTGTATCAGTCTTATTACCAGCTTATTGGCCTTTAGGAGTACATCGGCCAGAGATCAAGCTCCGAACCACATGCTTGATTCCCTGTGCCACTGACACACACACACTAAAATGACATAACAGACAAACAGTAACTAAAGTCTGGTTCTCAGTTCAAGAGAAACAATCAAAATGAGATGCAAGTAGTGGAAAGCATTAAAACGATAGTTTGTAAGACAAGACAAAAAAAAAACACAAGAACAGTCTAATCTCTTTATTTCACTGAAGGTGGTAATTCATTAATTGTCGTCCTTCACTGATGAATCTGCAAATTCAGTGTCCCACATAATTCTATGTTGAATTCCGCTTCTACTTTGAAGGATATGTGTACATAACTAACCCAGTGACAAATGAGCGATAAGCAAATACTGATTTTCATAAACTTGCTCACCTTTTTTTGAATCTGAATAAAGCCAGAACAATAGTTTCTGCAGAATAAGATGGTACCATCATTTATTTTGTTGACTTCTCATTAGCTGTGTACAGACTGCAAATGTTATGTAATGTCAGTTGATAGGGGACTCCAAACTTGACAAGCAGTAGTCAAGAATTACACTTATATAGTCTATATACTGAAAGTTCGAGTTTAAACGAAAATAAATGCTTAGATACAATGGTAAAAAAGTTATGTAATAAAGGCAAGAGGTGAATAAGATGAGAAGTAATTGACAAAATGAATATCAATATAGTGAGTTCAATTCAAATTATAGAAACAAAATGCCGGTGAAGTTACACTATATGGAAGGAGGGAGAGGTTAAGGCCACAGATTTCGAGGTCGAATGAAACAAAGCCAAACAATGAGAAAAACAAGACAGAACTGATGGAACACGCCAGATGTTAACAGATGTTCTCAGAAGAATGAAGAACAACTATGTCATGATTTAAGACCTATTTGAACGCCTAAGACCAACAGAACCAATTCTCGCCGGACTCTACGGTCTATCAAAGGGGCACAAAGCAGGTGTGCCACTTCAACCAATTTTACACATGTCAGGATCACCATACTATCCGATTGTCAAACGGTTGTCTGAAATGCTAGAGCTTGTGAAACAACAGCTATGTAATCACTCTTTCCGATATACTTTTAATTTATTCAATGCATAAAATACTTGAATATAAATGGCAAACGAATGTTATCACCGGACGTCAAATCTCTATTTACAAATGTTCCACTCACAGAAACAATTTTATCGTTTTGCAAATACTTGGAGGAGGGGAATCCGAGCATCGCAATACCAACATCATATCTGAAAGAGTCGTTACTTAGGTACACATTTAATGCGCAATCGACAGAGAGAAAAATGGGATTGCCTTGGGCTCTCCCTTCGGTACACTTTTGGTAGACTCCTTTAATGCCAGCTTGGAAAATGGCGCCCTAAAACCAACAGTGGACAAACTGCTGTCGTACGAAAGATACATCGATGACACCCTCATAGTCTGTCATGACGATTCTAATTTAAATCGTTTCTTACAGTTTCAAATAAATTCAAAATGGAAGTTGAATATGAATCTAAAATTCCATTCCTGGACGTCAAATTGACAAGAAGAGATGAGGAAACTCTGGAAAGATCTATCCACAGAAAATCAGCGTGGAATGGCCAGCTGATAAAATTCTACGATTGAATAACTGTCAGTCAGAAAAGAGCTCTCATCATCTCACTGGCACACCGTATCATAGGAATTTCCAGCGGTGACTGCCTAGGAGAACAGCTCCTATGTCTCAAAAGTCGTATGGCTCAAAATGGATCCCCAGCGCATTTCGTGGAGAAGGACATGGAAGAGGACACTTCGATCTGGGCTTCAGGGGAGACCTGGCAGCAGATATCCTTAAGAGGAGAATCTCCATTTCCCTAAAATAACCTTTCCTACAACAACCCATAGAGTGATATTCTCCAACCGTCAACTGCTCCGAATTATTGGGAAGGATAGACTTCCTCATATGACCACCTAAGTTCATCTACTTGTGTTGAGCCAGGTAAATAGGTTGTTTTATGCGGGTCCTATTAAAACGTGTTAGAGAACATCATCCAGCATGACTGCAAAGAGGAGGCACTGGTTCAATCAGAAACGTCATAATTGAACATCTCGTCAGCACCTGTCACAGCATCTCAACTGACTCATCATTCAGAGTCATTTACAAAGTAAACAAGAATCTATCAAATACAGTGTGTTTCTGACTTTTTCGCACTACAGAAGCAGCCGCTATATACATCGGAAAAGCAGAGCTGTGTATTCAAAGGAAACTAGTCCAACCTTTACATTTACCGCAGATCTAGTTTCGTTTGATTCCTTAGCTCTCTCTTTTTTCATCCCCCTAAATTTGTTTTCTTTTTTTCTTTTTCATTTCAGTTTCAAAATAATACTATTTAAAATTGTTTCCATGCTCATGCCATTCACGCCTTTATTCATTGAATACTGGTTTCTAATCCTGTGTAATCTTGACTCTGAACCCCCGTAATCTATATTCACAACTTCAAACTTTCCTGTAAAGTTGAAAATTATCATGACCTTTAATCACCTTCACTACCCTGTAGAATTATGTTGTAATTGTATCTGTGTAAACCGATGTATATACATGCAATTGTACAGCTGATTTTGAGCATGAAATTGCTGAACTTCTAATTCCTTCCTATCTAAAGACACTAAACACCTTCAATAATCTAACCTTAATATATTTCTCAAATATTTCTTCTTACGAGTTGATCACGGATTGATATCAGTCAGAGAATCATTGAAAACCAGGGAGTACTGGACAGCTGTTGTTTCATCCCAGTTTGGGAATCCTCCACAGTACACACCCCCTGCCAGGGTTCGAATCCACGACCTGCTGATTACAAGGCAAGCTTGTATACCATTCTAAAGTTTATATACAATTGATTTCATGTAAGAATGACATCATATTATATCATATCATTTTTAAGTATTTTTCGTTTACAACAAAGCATCAGTCACCATGGCACAATCTCGGACAACCGAAACATATTCATTGATTTTAACATCATGAAAGTTATGCGGCATTAATGTAAATGATATCATTGTTTTTTTTTAAACTACAAGACTAGTAATTGCCTTCTAATAATGTCTTTTTTCAGAATATTATGGAAATTGGATGGAAAAATCGTTCAACTGGAGCGACATTAATGAATGCTGATAGTAGTCGATCACATTCAATATTCACTATTTACCTTGAAATGATTGATCAGGCGGAAAATTCAACTGCAGATAATCATATAAGAGCTGGAAAATTGAATTTAGTCGACTTAGCCGGTTCAGAAAGACAGTCGAAAACTGGTGCATCTGGTGATCGGTTTAAAGAAGCGACAAAAATTAATCTTAGCTTGTCAGCGTTGGGTAATGTTATTTCAGCTTTAGTTGATTCTAAAGTTAAACATATACCATATCGTGACAGCAAATTAACAAGATTACTTCAGGTTAGTAAAGTATTTAGTCAACCAGAATTATATATTATTATATATGTGTAAAACTTGGGCACTGTGGTGGTAGTAAGTAATTCCATATATTAGTTTGTTTATTAGATGTATCCCACATTGGGTGAAACAGTATTATTTACTGGATGACAAGGTTTCGAACAGAATTTATTACTGTTCATAATCACATCATCAATTATAATCAACACGACTTCGAAATTTGAATTTTATGGTATTCTTTGTTCTCTCCTATTTGTCGTCATTGGGGTAGTAGAATTTTCCAGACATCTGGGACAGGCCTTTAATCATTCCTATTCCAGGGGAAAATATACAAACAAACTGAGGGAGGTATGTAGATGACACATTCACTCTACTTAGAACACAAGGTATAAATAGATTTTTCGAAAATATTAACTCAAAAGTGAAAGCAATTCAATTCACTTATGAATTAGAAAGTCAGGAAGGAGAACTTCCAACGTTAAATTGCAGTGTAAAAAAGGAAAGAAGATGAGAAGTTAAACATTAGTGTGTTTACAGGAGACCCATACATTCAAACAGATATTTGGACTTCCGATCATCCCATCCTATGTCAGTGAAAATAGGATCGGTGAAATGTTCAAATAATAGAGCACAAAAACTAAGTAGTACCAACGAAAATCTAAGACAATAAGTGAGGCATATAAAAGAAGCTTGAAACCTAATAATTATCCTGACAAATTAGTCAGGAATTATGTAGGGAAATGTAAAAATAAAATAAATAATGATAGCAGTGATAGTGATAATATTAATAATGATAATAATAATATTAATGGTGACATGCTTGTCAAATATGAGCAAGAAAACATCAACAATAAGTAATCTAAATCATCAGTAGTAATTCCATACAAGGAAGGTACCTCGGAAACCAGCTTACGCAGAATTCTTAACAAAGCAGGCAGGAATAAAAGTGGCTGGCATTCAAACTCACAAACAAGCTTTGTCGGTTACACGATCCTGTGGAACCTTTAAAACAAAACAATTTAGTTTATCTGATACCCTGCTGAAATGATTGTCAGGTCAAATACATAGGTCAAACTAGTAGAACAGGGGCAGTTAGACTAGCCGAGCATAAAAACCTACCAAAATCTAGATTGGTTGAACCGAATAAGTTACAAATTGAATCAATACCAATAAAAAGTAAGTAGGGCCAGAGTAGGAATAGGTATTGTCGTACGTTAGCATTGATGGATTGAGACCATGTGAGCTGGAAGGGTTAAACCAACGTCTTCTATGTAAAAGGATCTAACTTTTCCTATTTTGATGACCAAAGATTTAGAAATGCATATGAGTCGGATAGGTGATGATTTAGGCAAGTTATTACTTGCCGTGTAGATAACTTTACAAGAAGAGACTAAGAAAAATGAATTGACAAATAAACATAGAATAGGTGAGTTGCAGTATCTAGTTCACCAGTTTACTGATCAATAATGGTCGATACTATTTTCAACAACTGTGCAATGGATTTCTTTTTTCAGGGACGGCGGCTAAGTCACCTTAGCATTCAAGCTTCGTACATACAGCATTTTCTTCGCTGTAGACATCAAATCACATTTCACACGTTTCAATTGTATATTCATGTCCATAAGACATGGTAGAAATCTATTCTCCAATAGGATTTTTCCTAGAAGATTTAACTTTCCCAAATACTACTCATTAAACAACTACAGTTGAGTTAAAAATATATTATTTAGTTAGCTTTAAGGTCAGACAAGTTAACAGACAGTGATTTTGTTTGATTGGATGGAGGATTTCATCATGAGCTGACATCAGTTAGAGAAACATTGGAAAACCAAATGGGAGTACTGGACAACTGTTTCACCCTAGTTTGGGACTCTCCACAGTAAGCACCCATCATAGGAGGTTCAAACCCAGGACCTTTTGGTTACAAGGCTAGCGAGCTTGTAGACCATTGAGCCACTGGGACCCAATCCAATGGCCAGTCCATGAATTCTAACTTCTGCCGATTCAAGACACAGTATGACCATTTTGCAATGTCTTCTTCGATGAGTTACTGCCTCATTTTCAACCTGCTGTACCCTACTGGTCATGGCTTCCCACTAGAACCCCAGGTCAATTTACAACAAGAGACTGTGAAAAATGGATTGATTATCGCACACAGAATAGGTTAATTCCAGTATCTAGTTCACCAGGTTACTGAACATTAGTGATGGATACTATTTTCAACGACTGTTTAGTTGAATGTGCTTTTCAGTGACTGTGAGATGTTTCTCTTAATGATGTTGGCAACTAAGTCACCTTAGAATTCAAGCTTCGCGTATATGTCATTTTCTTGTTTGTTTACACCAAATCACATTTCATAGGTTTCAATTGTAAATTCTTGTCTATAAGACGTGGTGGAAATCCATTTTCCATTCGGATTTTCCTTAGAAAATTTAACTTTCCCAAGTAATCATTAAACAGCAATTACAGTTTAGCTAAAAATAGATTATTTCGTTGGCTTTAGGGTCAGACAAGTTAAAAAGCAATGATTTTGTAACAACGCGTTTGACACCATACACACAAAAATACACTAGTCAACCTGGGAGTAATTGAATATCAATAGAACTCCGTATTTTTTTACCGTATATTTACAAAATTTTTACCAGGATACCTTCTTCATCAGGCAATCGAACTTTCGTTTCCCCTAATTTGCGCCTGCTCAAAATAGGATTCCTTGGGAGGCAATACAAAAACTCTAATGATAGCATGTTTATCACCGGCAGACAATAATTACGATGAAACGTTGAGTACTCTACGTTATGCTAATCGAGCCAAGAATATACAAAATAAGCCTAAAATTAATGAAGATCCAAAAGATGCTTTATTACGTCAATATCAGGATGAGATTAGACGTCTTAAAGAACTACTGAACAGCAGCAGTCAACAGTCGGCACCATCAACGCTTGAAGTGTTCAGCGGGAAAGAAAATATTGATGTGTTAGATATACAAGCTGAGAAAGAAAAATTAAAGCAAGTAAGCGTATTTATTGTTTTTTTCTTTTTGTGTGTTAGATTTCTGAGTATTGATCATACACATCAATGCTGGTGCATAAATAATAGAGAACTAGATTAATGACGTTAAGAACAACTACACTGTCAATTGTGTCAAACTAATACTGATCATTTAACTGCTTACCACACGTTAATCGATATTTCGATTTAATTTTTTAATTATTTTAGAAAACACCCTCATCTTTATGTACGCTAACTATCAAGCACTAAATAATTGTTATTCTTTAGAATACACCTCAAAGCATCAAACTGTATTAAGTAAAAATTCAAGTAGTACAGTTGTCCCTAATTCGTACATTGCTGCATTGAATTAAACACCTTTGAACAAATAAAAGTTTGTGGAGTTTCTGATCGTCTGAATAATCTGTTATACTAAGGCTTTCTTGTATTTCCCAATGAATGAATGAATGAATGAAAAACAAAACGATATTACTGTTTTTACTGACATTTCGCTATTTAATACTCCGGCTAATAGCTTTATCAAAGTAGTAATGCTAAACCAGAATTTACACCAGTTTCCCAAATAGTGGCTGACTTTTTCATAAAGAGATTCGAAGATAACATTTTTTCAGGCACACTCACTCATAAAATATGGTTAAGATATGTAGATGATGATTTTGTAGTGCTCAAACGAGATCTACACAGTTCTCCCAGAATCCGGTTTATTTCGGAAACAGAATCAGACATCGGTGAACTAACATTTATAGACTGGCTCCTTATTTAAGAGGAGGGAAAACGGACATTTTAGTTTATCTATATCCAGGAATTAAACCCACTCCAATAAATATGAAGACTTCAGATCATCACACTCCATCAGCGCAAAGGTATCGGTTGTTTCAAGTCTTCTTAGACGAGTACACTCTCTGATGTTAACGGATGAGAAAGAAAAAGAAGAAGAAATATCAAACATTACTGAGACTCTCAAGCAAAACAACTACCCAAGGAACTTCATCAATAAAATCAACACTGACATAAAGTATGGTAGAAAACGTATTTCGAAAATATGGACCTCAACACCTGTCATTCCATATAGAACGGAGACGTTAGACGATATGAGAAGTGTACTTAGTTAGCTCTACATCAGAGTTTTCTTCAAAACATCAGAAACACTGCGAAGCAACCTTGTCCATATAAAAGACTAAATCTCTAAAGATTCTCTATCTAATTGCGTCTACAAAATAAAATGCTTCGAATGTGATGCCATATACATAGGACAAGCGCCACTAGAGAAAAATCAAAATAAGAAGAAATGAAAACCGTAGAGCCGCATCTGTTCTACCACTGAGAAATCCAGTTGAACTAGAAAAGCTTGGAAAATTATCAGACAGCAACAGGTGTACACAATAGAGAATTAGGCCACAAAATTGATTTTGACAATATTGAAATAATCCAGCTCACTCCCAGGAATAGATCTGACAAAGAGGGAAGGTTGGACATGAGGCTAACAACCTAATCCTTTAAAAACAAAAGAAAATAAATGTCACTGCTACAGAAACTTTAGGTCCGTAGCTTGAAGCCCTATGTTCCACTGGCAACTTAAAAGAATAAAAAATATTTTACAATAGTTTTGATTAATAATTCAAACCATATAGAGTAAGTGTAAGCTGCATGATTCAAGTTTTCAAAATACCAAAAAATCAATGAGTAGCCTTGAAAATTTAACGAATCAATTCAAAGCTAATATCCTGGACAATTAACTGATAATCTGAAATTTCCACGATAAGCAAATTAATCATTCCTGTGTAAAAGCTTCACAAATGTGTATGAGTGCTCACTGAAAGATGCACAGGTGACGAAGGCACCAAGCACAAATCACCATCAATACCAGAGATGTAAACGAAGTCGTTCGCTTCACTTAATTCAGAAGCATGAATTCAACTACATTGTATAGGCGGCAAAGATAAGGATGACATGTCACAAAAAGCATGAAGAACCTTTACGACTCCTAGATCCATGTGTGACAACCAAAACTGTCGTGCTGTGGTCTGAATGCAGCATATCGATCTTTCTGTTATGTTGTATAGCTGATCAAAGCTTCCTTGAGTTACTCACAGTCACAAAGTGCCCGAGTGACAGCAAAAAGATGTGTATCCTGTGATGATTACTAATTTTCTTACGAATTATGGCCTAAGTGTAACTGACAAGAAAGTCTACTACGATGCTAGTAGTAGATTATGCATCTAACTACATCTGAAAATCGTTTGGACGATAAACACAGACTAGTTGATGACAGTTACAACATTGGGATCTTTTGGGAACTGATACAAATTCCTAAACAACGGCATTTAATTAAGCTGTAGGTGATGTTTCCCCCGGTACTCTTTCCTCATCAGTCATTCTTGAGCTGAAGCTCACCATATGTCAAGTAATTAATTGTTGACGAACTGACTGTACACATATTTATTACCCGACAATAGGCTTTTCGACCTTAAATCCACTGACTGTAACAACCAAAACCCATCTGTTATGGTCTGAACGCAGGAAACCGCTCTTCGCATCCTACTATATGGCTGATCAGAACCTCCTTGAGTTACGTGCAGTAGAAAAACGCCTCGAGGGTTATTTTCTATAAATTCTGTGATACTATTTGACAGTCATAATAACGTAAAAAAAACTAAAAAGCACAACAACAGTGACGTCAGGCAGCTATGTAGATCAAGTAAATTTCCAGTACAAAATAAGTTCTGAAGAATAATATTACTTAACCAAAATCAACCGCATCAAGTACCTGAGAATCGATAAAAATATTCTCAACAAGGTCGTACCGAAACTCTGTTAGCAAGAATCAAACATGCTGAACACTTTCCACAGACACAGTTCAAGGTTAGGATGACCTTGATTCACCCAAACAAAATAATATATTATCAATATCATCACAAAGAGGAGTATTCAAATTAGAGATTAAACAGGCACAAGGATAAATAACACAGATTAAGTCAACACATGATATGCGAATGTCATAACAATGATATATGTAACCTAAGAAGGAAGGGTAAAAAATATCAGTAAATGAAAAATCGCCATATTAAAATCAAAACAAGATTTTGATCTAACAATTGTGGTTTCGATAACTTTTTCTTCTTCCTCAGGCTCTACAGTTAGTTATAAATCCATGAATAATAGAGTACAAATATAGCCAGCCAATAAAGGCAAATCAAAATAATATCAGAAACTGTATTGGGGTGTATGTGTAAGTTGAGGTGATGATAGTCCATTAGTTAACATAGTCAATCAAATGTGTAGTATAGGGTGTTTAGTCAGAAAAACTGTGATGAAGTGTGAATGAACAATTGGGTGATATAGTGTTGTTGTTTTATAGTTAACAGAATACAAGTGTCGTCACTGGGGTGAGAGAAATGCGATAACCACAAAATACATACAAAAACACGTTAACAAAGGAGGCACTGGATGTGAGGGCTGATCGATAATGTCTAATAACAAAATAAAGAGGCTAAATTGTAAATTTTAATAAAATGCTACAGAATTGTTAGGCTTAGTATAAAATCATAATGGTTGACAAAAATAAGGGTAACAATGAGGTGAAATAAACTGGGTGGAGAAATGGATAATAAAGACATGATATCACAAAATAATAATAATGATAATGATAATACGAAAAAATTATGATCCTGGTGACCTTATAGTGGACCAGGGTAGACAAAGAGAGTGGATAAGTTTTTTCTGTACACATAGGTCTGGTCTCTCTCTCTATTAATCTCTAAAGCCTCAGCTATGACTAGGAGGCGTAATCGTGTACTTTTGGGGTGATATCACAAAGTTAATTGAAACGTTTAAATAAGTACAAATATTGTGACTAGATCGTTTAGGAGGGATTTTCCAACCAATTATTTGTTTATACCAAATACAGATCTAGTGTACTCAACACAAGAAACAAGAGATCAGAATTTCCAACACCGGTTTCAAGAAAGTCTTTCCACGTGGTTCAAAAGCTTGGTGTGCGCTTCATGGAAAGCAGGTGATGACTTTAGCCAAAACCCACCTTGGCTCAACACTAAACATCAGATGGAAAGAACGCGTGGGGAAATTCTAGCAACGAAACAACCTACTGTCACACGAATTTCTCATATGGTGCTGGACTCTGTATACGCTGAAAAGTTTTCTGAGTGACACCACTCACCAAGCCACTGAGTCCAGCCTAAAATGTGAAGTGATAAGTTGGCTTTCTGAGGATGACGTGGAAGGCATCAAGGGAGAAGGAAACAAAAGTTTGTGAAGAATTGTAGAGCTGGCTAAAAAAGACAGCACAGAGTAGAGTAGAGTAAAGTGGAGTTGTGGTATTGAAGTCCTTTGTATCACTTTGAAACCAAGTAATGAACAAGAATAATTTGACAAACTGAGGATATAAATTTAATCCTTTTTAACTTGTCCTGCTTCATTTTAGTCAGTATAATTAGTAATTAAACGTTTAATGATTGACTACATTTAACTGGCACTTACGAAGTATGAGATTTGATACAGGCTGTATCTCTGTAAGCCCATAAAATGCAACCTGGTGAAAACATAGTATTACCCTACATTCTTCTAAAAACAACGAAAGAATTCAGTTGAAAATCAATAATTCTTCACTGAAAAAGTTTGTCTACTGTAAGATTTGTAATGGAAACAAACGCTAGAATGTCGTATGTTCCTTCCGAGATGATAACGGGCATCTCCGATTGACAGAGCTAATCAAGAAACCTCTATACTTTTAATTGGAATTAAATTGGTGGATGGTGACTAGCAGTGGAATCCAGGATGCTCATTTTGGGACCCGTCATCTGGATGTACCTGCATTCCCAGTGAGTGATGATGTTTCCACCGAGGCTCGAACCCAGTGCCCATAGTTTCAAACACCAAAGGGTTATCTACTAGACCGCTTGGGCAACGACAGCCACCTCTCTCACTGGGAAGTGCAGGTACATCTAGTTATCTGGTGAGTCCTAAATAGGACGAAATGCGCATCCTGGATTTCACTCCTAGTCACCATCCACCAATTAAATTCTAATTAAATACCCACTCATCGTCGAAGCATCTGCACACGAAGCCGACATGTCAACCTGAGACCGAGCACTTCGGTCCAATCAGTCGACGGGAAAATAAAAAAGAATTCAATTAAACCTCTTAGTTGTTTATATAGCAAACATACCTCTGTATAACTCATCGATATACTATCATTTGTTGACTGGACGACGATCACTGCAGTTGTGTGTGTGTGCAAAAGTTTCAACTGGTAGGTTTTTGCAACTATTCGTGTGATTTACTTATTAGAACAAGACATATGAGCGAAAAACATTGATGTTTCCCATTAGATCTTCTTCAGGCTTTACTCTAATTTACATAGATTTACATATAAAAATTTTTCACCAATGACGATGATATTGTGGATCAAATAGCAATAATAATGTGGCAAATGTTTTGAACGTAATTAATAACGATGATTATGACGATAACAAAATATTGAGAAAACAATCGCAGCAAAGAAAATTTTCTTTTCGACGAAGTCATCATCTAGGCTGTACATTCGTGTATTTATATCAAATGGATGGGAAAGTTCCAGAATAATTTCCGGTTAAGGGTCAAATTAATAAAAATTAAAATTGGGAATTAGAATGCCATAATAAACAGGGGGAGGGATGGATAAAACTCAAACAAAGTAGCATCATAATAACTAAGAAGATTGACATTGTGCAATTAGGGGTTAGAAATGTAGAAGTAACAAAATAGACAGGAAGTTTGGATATGAAAATATGGTAGTGTGAATACGGATTAAGAAAAACTTAAAATAACATGAATAAACAGGAAGTTTAGATAAGAAAGGCGACGGGATGGTCATTACTAAAAAAATTATCTGTTTATGATGGCCATGGCAGGGACAGGGGTTAGATGTATTTTTTTGGATACAAAGCGTGGGTTTTAGCTTTTGGATAGCTAGCGCCTCGGCTATGCCCAGATGTCTTGGTTTCACTCCCTTTGATAGGTTTGATTGAATCTTGTATATTACTTTGAAGGATTTTTCGAAAGGCGCTGAATGTCCTGAATTGACCAGATGTTCTGTCAGAACACATAGAAGTGGCACATCTAGGAAGCTTATCTTTCACTTGAGAAATCAAAATTGGCCGGCTGAAAAATGACAAACAGAGGGTGGCGCCAGTATAAGTCCATTTCATCGCTTTCGATAATTTCAGATGTAAGATATCGCTAGCCACGTCCCCATTTAATTGCGGTTTCACGAACAGTTGTTTCTTTTTAACTGTTGTCAGTTTTTCTTTATTGTACCTGGTATTCATGTGTCTCCTTACAAATCTAATGGGACAACCCATTTGGACCAGCCTATTTTGGATCAATCCTAGCGCATTTACCAGGGAGTCATCTGTAAAGATACGTCTTGCTCTATTCGTGAAGCATCTGACCAAATTGATTTTGTATCGGATTGGTACAAAACTGAGGAAATGTGTACATTGTCCTACAGATGTATGTTTTCTATAGACATCCCTTTTGAGTGAACCATCCTCTCTTCTGCTCAATTGGACGTCAAGAAAATGTAGTCTACAATCATGTTCTGCTTCACAAGTGAAGATGAGCGATGGATGTGCATCATTAAACTTTTTTAACATTTCATTCTTGTCAGCTTTCTCATCAAGAATAATAAACGTATCATCAACATAACGCAAGTAAGGACCCATTTTATTTATTAATTGTTTCAATAAACCATTTCAAGCTTTTCATAAAAGCGATCCGCCAAAATTGGACCCAATGGAGAAGGTTGAATATAAAGTGTACATTCATCGTGTATCTTAAAAGCGGCTCTTTCAGACTAATAATTAGAATTCCGATATCTAACTGCTTTACGAGAATTTTTTGGTATATGAATTCCACAGTCTCCATAAGTGGTACATTGGTGAACAGTGATGTGACATCTAAGGATCGCGTTTGCTTCTCATTTACACTGATATCATGTACGTTAGGAATGAATTCAAAACACTATGATTTATCACCTTCTTGTGTATCGTGTGAATGAATTCATCCAGCAACTTTGTCACTCCATGGTAGGTGGAATGAGATATGTCTAGGATTGGGCGAAGAGGAAATCCTGGTTTATGTACTTCAGGCAAAGCACATAATCATGGAGGATTACTTCCAGTAGTCTTACGTCTGAGATTATCGAGAGCGATAAAACGGACTTATACTGCCCTTTGTTTGTCAATTTCTGGCCTACCAATTATCATTACTCAAGCGAAAGTCAAGCTACCTAGCTGTGCCACTTCTATATATATATATATATATATATATATTTAATTGCTCCTGCGGAGAGAGCTATATAGGGCGAACAACTAGACAGCTTAACAAAAGCATTAATGAGCATCTTTCTACATGGTTCGGAAAAGGTCAAAGAAAATCTATAAGAATTTCTATTTTGGCTCATTTGATTGAAAGTGGTCACCAAGTGGACAGAAATAGTATCTTGAAAGTTTTCTATGGCATTCCATCGAATGTTTCGAATGGAATTCGAATCCGTCTTTTACACCTAGTCGAATCGATGGGAATTCGAGAGAACAATTCTAGTTTCTGCATACAACAAAAGAAGTTTGTTCTATCTTTGTCTCTCCCTTGCTTAGCTTAGGTGAAATACATTCAAAACCCTCCCACTCTTTCTTATTTTCTATTTCCTTCGTACTTTTATGATATTTAATTAAACTCTGATTATCTGTCCACTTCACCTTTAGTATTATGTAAATTTTAAGCTTTGACCTAGTTTATTTATTGAATTGTCTACATATACACATACTACTACCTTTGTTATTCTTAACACCACTTGCATAAACCTTATTATCAACATTTTGTTATCATTATAATCATCATTATTAACTACGATCAAAACACTCACCATATTACTATTATTATTGTTATTATTTTTATTTGAACCACAAAATCATCGTCATTTGTTAAAATTTTTTATGTGTATATCTATGTAAATTAGAGTAAAGTCTGAAGAAGATCTAATTGAAAACAACAATATTGTTTGCTTATATGCCTTGTTCTAATATTAAAAATGGGAATATTTAAAGGTTTGAATTACTTATTACTGATAGGTATTCTATTGGTTATTGTTGTTTTGTATTTCATAAAACAGGATTATGAACGAAAACTACAAGCTATGCAAGAACAGTATAGTGCAGAAGCAGAAGATAAGGCGAAATTACTTGAAGATATGAAACATTTAAGAGAATTCTATGATATGAAAATTTCACAGATAAACAGTCATCGAGATGCACTCCCGCCAACAAACGAATGTAAGCATAGACTGGCGCTGTTAATATATAAATTTGAAAAAAATGAAGGATACATTTTTTTTTTACTAGGTGCTGATTTCTAAGTATCGGTAATTTCGTAGACCTTTTTCTCATTATTAATTGACATTAGAGCATGGAAAATATTTTTTAAAAAAGAAAAGACAGTAAAAGCCTTCCTTTTGATGAAGTTATCGACTGGGCTGTACACTTGTGTGTATGCATAGTAAATGGGTGAGAAAGTTAATATATGTGTAAAACTTGGACACTGTGGTGGTAGTAAGTAATTCCATATATTAGTTTGTTTATTAGATGTATCCCACACTGGGTGAAATAATATTATTTACTGGATGACAAGGTTTCGAACAGAATTTATTACTGTTCATAATCACATCATCAATTATAATCAACACGACTTTGAAACTTGAGTTTTATGGTATTCTTTGTTCTCTCCTATTTTTAGTCGTTGGAGTAGTAGAATTTTACAGATATCTGTGTGGACAGGTGTTGAATCATTCATATTACACGTATTTGCAGTTGATTCGATAAACAAAGCTTCTGTTATCAATCTCTCCCTCCACCCAGCTGTCATATTAGATTTTAAAATTATCATCTTATCATATCCTATTGTACGGTTGTGCATGTAATGAGTGCTATACCTGAACTTTTCTCGAGATTTCTTATATATACTCGGGTCAACCAATCTAAATTTTGCTAGGTTTTTATGCTCGGCTAGTCTGACTGACTGCCCCTGTTCTACTAGTTTGACCTATGTATTTGACCTGACAATCACTACAGGCAGGGTACTAGACAAACTAAATTGTTTTGTTTAATTGGCTCCTCTGAAAGGATCCTTTAACCGACAAAGCATGTTCCTAATAGAATTTGTGGGTCTGAATACCACTTTTATTCCTGCCTTGTTAAGAATTCTGCGTAAGGCTTCCGAGGTTCCTTCCTTGTATGGAATTACTACTGATGATTTAGATTACTTATTGTTGTTGTCGTCATTATTATTATTATCACTAACTCTACTATCATTATTTATTTTATTTTTACATTTCCTTACATATTTCCTGACTAATTTATCAGGGTAATTATTAAGTTTCAAGGCTTCTTATATGTGTATCGCTTCCTGTCTTAGATTTTTCTTTGTACTACTTAGTTTTTGTGCTCTGTCACTTAAACATTTCACCAATCCTATTTTCACTGACATAGGATGGGATAACTGGAAGTTCAAATATCTGTTGAATTTGTGGGTTTCCTGTAAACTCTAGTGTCTAACTTCCCATCTTCTTTCCTTTTTACACTGCAATCTAACATTGGAAGCTTCGCTTCCTGACTTTCCAATTCATAAGTGAATTCCCTCTACCTTCGAGTTGATGTATACGAAAAATCTATCTATATTCTGTGTTCTAATTACAGTGAATGTGTCATCTACATATCTCCACCATACTTTTCGGGTGGGGGTGAGAAACTTTCAGAAAATAGAGATTTAAATGTGATAGTAACAAGATAAACAGAAAGATCGGATACAAAATGCACTCAAGAATACTACCCAGTGTGTTTAACAAAAGTAATATACAAGATGTGACCAAGCGCTCAGGGAAGTTGTGATGATGAAGGCATCAAAACATAGCTGAGGCACTATCAACCCAGAAGTTTTAATCCCATGCTATATATATCCGAAAGAAATACGTCCAACCTTTGTCTTCCCCATGGCTATCATAAGTATTAACAATTCTCTTACTTTTTTTATCCAAACCTCTTGTTTATTTGCACGTCTTTTAATCCCTGTTTACACTACTACATTCTTTTTATTCAAACTCTTGTCTATTTTGTTATTATCATGTTTCCCTAATTGCATGAAAAGGTCAAATGTCTCAATACTTATGATTGGGCTGCTTTTTATATCCTATCTTTCGGTGTATTTTGTTGTTATTATTACATTATGATCCCAGTGTGTACAGTCTTATTAGTCTGACCATTGATGGGAAATACTTCTGGAAATTTCTCACCCATTTATTATGCATATATGTGAATGTACAGCCTAGTTGATGATTTCGTCGAAAAGGGATTTTTTTCTCTGAAACCGCCTTTTCGGTTTTAAGTGAAAATATGAGTTACTTCGAATACAATCGATTAACATGTGCATTCTTACATGACGCGTGTGAATAGTAGTCACTAGTTAACTTCATTAACTGATTTTCAGTCTTAGCAATTTTGTTTTTAATACGAAGTCTTCCAATTTTTTTCTAATTCCTTCACCCCCTCAGCGAAGCATTGGGATCCAAGCTAGAGACTTGAAGTTTCGATAACAGTGGTGTTTTATATGAATGAGATGGGGCTGCTAGCCTCATATCGAACCATCCATCTTTATAAAACCCATTACTGGCTTAGCGAGCCAGGTAAAGGAGTGCGCCAGTGGCCGGGGTCGAACCCCGAAACACTTGCGGCGCGGTAGGCGAGCATTCTACCGCTGCGTCACTGGCACACAAACATTTATTTTTTCCGCCTTAAATGTTGGTTAATTCCTGTTGTTTGACATATCTGAAAACTTGATGTTTAGTAAATTTTTGGACTTTATGATATTAGATGGTTGGAGGCGGTCGGTAGGAGACCTAGGGCCTAGGTATCGTGCTAGTTGGTACTCACCAGTCAGCAAGGCGTATCTGAAACCTTGAAGGAACTCATGTCCCTTCTGAAATTCGAACCTGCGTCACCCAGTGCTGCAGCCAGAGACGTAACTACTGGGCTATTCGAGTGATGACGCAGGTCGAATCACAGAAGGGACATTAGTTTCTTCAAGGTTGCAGATAGGCCTTGCTGACAGGCGAGTGCCAACTAGCACGAAACCTAGGTCAGGCGTAGCTTCCTGCCGATTGCCTCTAACCATCTTATATCATTAATGTACACCATGATGGTGAGCTAGTTTGAATGGTGGCCACATTGCAAACCTGACTGACAGAATTCAGTCTGCACCGAAGATAGGACCAGACACATCACACTAGTTACTGACTAGTGTCCAAGCAAAATTTTTGGACGTTTTGCCATCCTGACTAATTTCGATCCTTAGTTAGGTTATAGTTATGCACTGTGTCCTATAATATGTAAAGATGGTTACCGGGAGACGCAATTGTATCACTCACGAAGAAATTTAAATCATTTCACTTTATACTAAATATTGCGCTGAAGATGTTATCCAGAAGGACAATGAAAGCTCCGCAGCTAAACCAGCCAGCTCAGAGAACACCATTAATTGCAAAACTGTGACCTATCGTCATTTGGTATACAATAACTGTCCAATTCACCTACGTTCATGACGACATCTATGTTGATACTGTCTAACACTTTTATCCCAGTTATTCGTCGAAAGTTTATATATATATATACGCGTCTACATTATCAGCTTACTTTGGACTACTTTGTTAGATTTAATAATTTATTTTCGGCAGCTTTTATTTTCCTCCTTCAAGAATGAATAAAGAGTCTATCAGAAAGTCACACACTGTCTATTACAAATACTCATTTCCCCCAAAACTGTTAGCCACAATATCATTTCAACATTGACAAGCATAAATAATAACAACAGTTTCAATAAAGAAGACTCAACCAGCACCGAATATGTCCAAATAATTGTTTACAGTAAAAATTAACAGGGGATCATATAAAAAACTTCTTTTCATCCCTTCACTTTCCAGTTGAGATATGGGGCTTCTAGAGTGAGCTTATGCACTTCAATAGCAGTGGATTATTTAATGTGCCCGATTCGCCAGTCTCAGGTGCAACCTTCCCTCTTTACCAGACCTACTACTGCCTAAGCAAGTGTTAGAAGTGCAGTGCCTTCGATGGAAGTAGAAACCAGAGCATGTGCATGATAGAGTGGACAACATATGAATACTGTAGAAAATAAATTAGAATTAGAATCGAGTACACACCAACATCAATTCAGTGTTTAAATATTAAGATTCGGTAATTTTAAAGACTACAGTTTCAATTGATCGAAGATATCTATTTAAAAGAGTCAAAAAGCTGATTAATGGATAGGGAATTTTTTTTTCCGATAAATGCGTTGTCACGTTATACACTTACATGACCATCGCATTCAAATAAAGGTTGTTAGTAACAACATTAATGTATCAGATTACATTGAATCACTGTGTGGAGATCAGTACAACTCAGTAGGAAAAATAAGATCCGGATTTTCAAATCCAATGTGAAGTCAATGCTACTATACGGATCAGAGACTTCGTGAGTCAAGAAGCGCACTTTGAACAAACTGCAGACCTGTATCAACAGCTGTCTTCGCTCAACACTACTCAAGCTCAGATGGCCGGTCAGAAAAGATTAGCAACAGGAAAGGATCTCTGGCAATTAGCGAATCAACCCAGCAGGGACCAACTGTGCAACAAATATGCATGAAGAAATGAAGGTGGATTGTCCACACTCTGAGAAAACAAACCATCAAGTGAGTGACAATACACACCAAGCCAGTGCTTGAGTGGAACCCGATTGGGAAGCGGCGAGTCGGTTGTCAGTGCGAGGGTGACATACAGGAGGTCAAGGGAAGTGTTGATCAAAGCATGTGGGTAGACGTGGAGCCAGGTTATGAAAGTATTTGCGGAGAATTGAATGCAATGGAGAGGTTTGGCAGAACCCCTATGTTCTTCTAGGAACTAAACGAAACAATAATAATAATAATACAATAATATAAATGCATTCATTTATGTTATAACGGATTCAATTTTTTTCAGTTAATAGAATTATGATTGCATTCATGCATATTTAAGGCTGTTATAAAAAAAATATATATTAAATGAATTTTGCAGTAGCCGTGTAGCCATACTTATGTGATCTATTGAAAACAGAAAGATCAATAATTATTCAACAAAATACCAATAAATTACAATACCAGTAGAAATATGTAGCCGTGATCTCTTCAAATTAACGTTACTTTCAGATAGATCCCGGCTTTAAGTTACTAGGCGTTACTTTAAGTTACAGAA